GTGGCAGCCCATTGGGCCGATTCAGGATTCTGAAGTTGTGAGGTTCAAACAGAATATGAACAAGGGTACGGTTACTCTAGAGGTGTTGTTACGAACAGTTCTTTCCGGGCCCTATGCAGACGGCACAATCCGGAATAGTGAGGAAACACTGGGGGAAAAGTCATGCAGGAGACGGGAATCGAGACAGGGGGCGTGTCCCTGGTGTGCAGGTGTCCAGCGGGAGTGAGTCCGGGGCGAACAATCCAAGAGGAAGTCCAAACGGGGAATCCAAACACAAGCATAAGTCCAGGGCCAGGCGATCCATCCAGTAGAATAAAAACGGGAGCCGGGTCAGGACCGGCGGGGGGAACAGGAACAGAAAGTTAAAAACATGACGGAGACAGAGGCAACAGGACCCGGGCTCACATGAAACGGGATTCAAAGTAGAGCCTCGAATGATGTGAGCGCCTGGCTTTAAAGGTGGACTGAAAGGGGGTTAGAATAAGGAACAGGTGCGGGGAATGAGGCTGAACGGGGATGAGCTGGAGCGCCCTTAAGAGGAGGAGTAGCGATCGTGACAGGTGTAAATGAAAAAAGGGAGAGATGCAATGCCTGGTGGAAGACTTAGCAACATTTCCAAGTGGACCAGCGAGAGTGGAGAGACAGGGGATTGATGCACTAAAGAGCAATGTTTTGAGCAATGGTGACAAAAGAATAGGGCTACTGGAATGATGTCTGAATGAGCTGGTGTCAGCGCTGTGTTGCTTCCGGAGCTTGATTCCATGGAGAGCACCCGCAAAAGGAGCGGCACAGTTCACAAAATGCCAGCAAGAATCCAAAATGATAGTTGGATACAGTATATTGGAGGAAGGTGGTCAGTGTGGTGGCCTAGGCGATGGGGAGCTGAAGGGAATGTGATATCCTGCGGCACTAGGTCGGTAGGTCTGAGTTACAGGTGGAACAATTTGGAGGAGAAAGTCAGAATTAGACAGTAGATTATGTTTATAAGAACATATATCATCCCAGTTATCCCATTGCTTTCTTACATGTTTCATTTCTCTCATGCAGATTCTGCTTTAAAATGGCAAATGTAAGTTTTGTTGTGCACTGTCTTAACCCGCAGACTCCTAGTAAGGAGTAAAATCAGCTTTTCTTAGGTTCGACAGATTTACCTTGCACCATATACAAATTCCAGTTAAATACCTTACACCTTTTTTAAGGTTTTGCTGTAAAGATACAAATGAATGGACAGGCAGGAGACTGATACCGGGAAAAATCATTTTTAAATAAATAATATACTGGAGGCCTCTTTCATAAATATTGATTGCACTTCTGGGATACAAAAATGTATCTGTGCAGCATATTACAATGCTTTATTTCCAATGTTGCATTAAGGAAACCTGAGAAGAAGGATGCGAGGTGTTTTGCCAACAGTCACTATAAATGATCAATAATCCTGCCAAGATTTCCCTCAAGTTCAATTTCCCCTGCAATTTATGTGATTTCTGTGATATCAGTTTGAAATTGTGTGCAGAATGTGAAACCACCCCAAACCTAGTCTGTTAAAGAGCATTTAAAAAGCATTTAGAATATGTTTAACCTCTCTAGATACAATGCACAATGTATTCTGAAGTTTCCATGTGAAGGTAGCGTGTTTTCTGTTGATCTAATGGCAGTATTAAAATGTTTGTAGGCAGATGCACAGTGTATCTTTCTCCTTTATGAGAAAGAGTTTTTAGTGGGCTCATGTAATATATCTTATTTATTATGGTTATTAGTTTTAAAATCCAAATTAATGCAGCACTTCAATGGTTTTATGGATCTAGCCAATGTCTTTTAGTTTGATGCAATTATAATACTATTCTTTATTCATTTTCTAATTAAAATATCCTCTTAACTCCAACATGAATAAGTTATTGTTTGGTCTGCTAGCACACACATTCATGAGTAACTGGAATGTGTACACTCTGCATAACAATTAAGAGAAATAATCTGCTGTATATTTAGAACTCCTGGATGAAGTTATATTTCTATAATAACCATCTTGTAGAATATTCATCTACTGTAATTTCTGAATATATGAGATAAACAGAAGTGTGCAAAAACACTGCCATTAAATGTTAATTAAAAACAAACGCTAATCTTAAGTAAGACAGTATCTTGGGTGTCACATTTATAGTCATATACCTAATCTGGCAAGAAAACTGCATACTTGGCAGGAAAGTAAAGCTCATAGATTGCTAATGCTGCAAAATGTAAAGAAAAAATATATTTAGAAGAACTTTGTGCTTTGCTTTCTTTTTACCTGCTTCCAATCTCTCATTTTGTCTAATTGCGAATTGTGTCTATAAAACAGTGTTTTCAAATTTGAGTTACCGTACAGTACTGAATACTTTAACATATTAAAAAACTTGTCAGCAAAAAGTGCAAATAAAACAAATTTAAAGATGATGATTGCATAGGTATTTAATCACTTTGCTATGTTGAACCTAAATTAGTTCAGGTGATCTGGTGTACTTTGATAACTCACACATTTAGTGGAATGGTTTCTGTCTGTGCAATAATAGTCCACTTAGTTATAGTGCACTTGGTTATAGAATAGGCACATATTCCACAATCAGGAAGTGAATTTCAAGCAAAGATTGAACAATCAAGATCTAGGAGCTTTAAAAAAAACTAAGGTATATTGCTACACTTCAAAATAAGATAATCATATCCTAAACAGGGTGTTTCAGGAGTACAGAAGATGAAAACTCCCTGTGACATTTTATTTGGAAGCTCTGTAGGGGCTCCTGCCACCATACGCTACAAATACAATATCTTCACTGTCATAGTTACAGAACACCACCTTGTTTTCCATCACAAATTACCTGACACTAACAAAACTTCACCTCCCTAGCTGGAGTTCAGAAATGAAACCTGTCAAAATGGGTTATGAGTTTGTATTTTTACGCACTTACAACATTATCTTGGTATCATGTCCTCCTGCAGTTGTTCTTCCAATGTTGTCATTATGTATCCTTATTACGTACAGTAAATGTGGACAAGTCTGAAAGGCAAAATGCTGTTTAATCTCTTTAAAGATGATCATGCTTGGAATACTGTACGTCATTTACAGTATGTTTATCTGAAGTACAGTGCCTCCAAGAAACATCGAACTTACTTGGCAAATGAGGTCCACAAAGCTTTGTTGACCTGAACAGGGCCTTCCCTGCAATTCTTGGTTGCATTGGACTCCAAAACTGACAAAACTGCTAAGTATATTAAAGGTAAGACTGTGAATGTATCTTCCAGAAACAAGCAATTACATCAAACTGAGATTCAGAGAAAGTGCAGTATGTACAGTAGATACAATGCTGGCTGAAAGGAGGCTATATATATGCCAGAGTAACCATACTAACAGTTCATTAGTTTTGTCAATTCAACATTTATTGTATCATTTTTGTATGTGTGCATAACAGGTCTTGGATGGCACAGTTGTGCAGTGAATCTTGTTCATATAGATTTTGTGTGGGCAGTTTCAGTTTCCTCCCACCTTCCAAAAATCTCATTATACAACAGGTACATTGACACTATGCTGCCTGAGTTAAATGGTATATTCAAATTGTCCCTACAGTATGTGCTTTTGTTTAGTTTCACTTGTGAACTGTGTCTTGGGGATACAGTAGGTCTGGCTTGCTGTTACCCTTATCAGGAAAAAGCAGCTTTCTGATAAAGGATAGAGGTAACAGGTCTTATAGTATAAAACTGTTAACAGGTGCATAATTCCTCAGGACTCTCACAACCATATAATTTCTCTGCTGCAAAAGACTGATCCTTTTGTATAGCAAGTGTGAGATGTATAGACTGGTTACTAGACATGATGACTCTAATCCAGTGTCTGTCCTGGAATCTGTGTAAACCATAATTACACATCTGATAAAACACCCCTATATACAATGTCTGTAATGTTATATTAAAACAACAAAATTAAGAGCTATTTTAATAACCCTTACTATAATAAACCTCTATTAATCTTTCCATCCCTTCAGCCTTTTACATATGTGCTGTAAATTATTCCCATACACATGTGAGTGAGTGTACTCTGATATGGACTAGCTTCTTGTCTAGGGGACAGTTCTGCCCTGTGTCTGCATAGACTTGGCTGTGGGTCACTATGACCCTCCTTAGGAAAAAGTGACGATGGATAATGGATTTACAGTTTTCCCACTTTGTTTTCCCCATGGGTGCTATACCGATGAACATGTCCTTCATATGACATACTTTTAGCACTTTCTCCTTCTGTGGTGCATCCCTGGTAGAGAGTGCACGACAGCTTCGCAAAGTCACCAGTTGACCAGTTTTGACACGGTGAACCATTCACTTTCTCCTTATTGACAAGAAAGGAGAATTGATAAAGTTATACATGGAACACTGGGAATCCTTTCAAAGTCCTCTTACAGTACTAGCAAAGTTTAAGATGTTGGTTGCATGTATTGATTGTTTTTCTTTCCCTCTCTCCTATGTAGTTCTAGAACAACCTGCACTCATAGATTACACTATTATACCTTTCTTCTTTACCATGACACCAGCAGAACTCTTGCTCTTCTGACAGGGTGCAGGAAGGTACATTGCAAACTGAGAGTAGGAGTCATTTTAATCTAAAGGGAACATAGAACAATCATCCCAGCCATGTTGTTGAAGCAGATACCCTGGCTTCTTTCAAATGCTATGCAAGAGTACTGGACAACTTGGCTACTATCAACCTAATTAGATATTTGGGCCAAATACACTCTGCCCATACTGTATATAACCTTATTTATTTTTCCCTATACTCCATACAAGTGTAAATAATCATCATGAGCCTTTTTATCATTTTGTGGTCTCTCTCACAAAGCATCTAGTGCATTTCTTAAGCTCTCCTCTGGTACTAATTGTTGACATCTTTATGTAAAGCCGCTCACTGCAAACAAGGTGAAACATTTAGCGTAAGGAAACAATTTTAGAGATGTAATCTTTTATTTACACATATTATTCGTTTACACCCCTAGCAGTTTCATTTTGCTAAAAGAATACCTTCTCTGGATTTCTGAATCTCAGTTGAAATAAAAGTGATTTTAAAAAGTATTTTTTTACTTAAATATGCTGCTTTTTAGTGTAGAGCTTTGGCTATCTTGAATACAATACATTGAATATCCCAATATTTAATGAAACAACTGTATATATTTTTTATTAAAAAATAATTAGAAATGAATCAAGATTATGTACATAAGATAAGCTATTTGCCATGCTTTTCCATTAGGTCTACATTTTTATTTCTTCTATTTTGGATATTCTGCACATTTTCAAACTTTCAACATTTCCCAATAAGCTGTCATACTGTACATCTGTTAGACAAAACAGTGAAGATATGGCTCTACACCTCAGAGGAGCAGAGAATATAATATTCTTTAGACAGATATATTTTGTGGGGCTGACAGGCTGCTCAGACTCACAGTGGTGAAAACAGCATGTTTTCTGCTACAAATATAACATACACAGAGTATAGATCTTATTAGAAGTGGAAAGCTCTGCTTCACTGACATGAAACTTGAGGAGAACACTGGAAGACTGTCACTGAATTGTGTCTCACCTACATTTAAATGCCTATGTTCATCATGAAGCCATCTCACGGCCCTTTTCTTGTGCTTGTAGTTTCATAAACCCTAGACCCGCTGGTATTGATTAGAATGTGTTGTGTTAATGGAGCTGAAGTCGGGAACATCATACGAATTTTGTTTAAATTCTGAGGCCGCAGAACCCAATGCTAAGGCAAAAGGGCCCAATACTAAGTAAGTGGTCCCTAAGTCTGAGACAGTAGGGCCCAATACTGAGACAGCAGACCCCAATGCTGAGGCAATGAGACCAATTCTGAGGCAGGATGTCCCTGAAGTGACAGAGCTTTTTCCCTCTGTACTTGAATAATGAATGAATAAAACCGTGCTTCTAGAAGATGGACTTTGCACAGTAATAAAATGACCCTGCATACTGTAAATCAACAAATGAGAATATGCTCTACTGCTTTAGAGTCTGATGTTCAAGGGCTCTTGTCACAGATCTCCTCCACTTATCTCCATGTTGAATTCCTCTTCCTATGTTGAATAAACTGTTAGAATGTAAAACATCTTCCCATTAAAGAACCCCATCTTTCTTTCTATTGTGTTTTCCTTTCACACACAGTTTTAGAAGTCCCTCTATTAATTTGTCATCATTACCCTTTTGATTTTGCTACATTGCTTTGTTTTTCTTTGGGATAAGGAATCAAGGTACACTTTCCACCCGTACAGTTTTATTACTTGTATAATCTCCACATCGTGACAAAAACTCTAGAACTGTACTTGGAAAAAAAAGAACACATTTTAATTTAGTGCCATCAAACGAAAGTCCTGAGTTGCTTCTAAGTAGGTGACCTTTTGTAAACTTTAAAAATGGTATCTGACTGTAGTGTTTCGATATGTGGTGTCAAAGTTATTCTTTATTTGCCACATGTGGAGAGTTGTAATTCTGAAACAAAGGCTGAAGAAAAAGTCCAACTGTCCCAACAACGCAGACAAATACAAATATCCACAGGAAAAGTCGGTCAATAACCATGGCCACATATTTCCAGTCTTCAATTATCTAAAGAAAAGGGAAAAAGCAGGGATTAGATTTCATAATTTACACTTACTGTATTATTAATATCCTTAGTAATTTCCATTGGCAAAGTTAATCTTAAACTTGAATTTACAGTGTACTATAAATGATAAAAAGGTGAAAAATGTAGTTATCACTTGCACTTCTCCCAGGGTGCTTAATTATAACCTACATTTAAAGTAAGTTTCAACTAAATAAATACGTTCTGTTATTTTTCATAAAAAAGGATAATATGTCCAATGGAAGACAGGTAAGAATCCCACTTTAAGTGAGTCCAAGTTCTCAGTTCAAATGAAAGTGGAATGACTCGATTTATCAGAAACTACGGTTTTCATTCTTTGACCAGAAACTGACAGCAAGTACAGTATGGTCCGACACACCTGTGGCAATAGCAAAGCAAGCAGAACTACAATGATGTTTAATGTCATCCAGGAGGCACGTTAAAATGGTTGACAAGTTGACACTATGATTATTACAATGTAAGGCATGAAATCAATTATTACTGCTGTTATTCCATAGTCACAAAAATGTATTTGGTGCTTGAAATACTGCAAAAAGAAAACAAACACTGGTACTTATTTTTCCTCTATTTAGACCTTAATTTGAAGACCTTCTATAACTACAGAAAAAAGGGAGAGATTGGCTATCAATAGCAGATAAAACACATTGGCTCTATAAGTATAATAATACAGGATGAAGATACATATGTAATATTCTTTGCAAGATAGAATTCAATGTTTTATATAATAACATTCACTGCATAATTAAAATCTAAATGGTGTAAATTATCACACTAGCATGTGCCAGACTGTCTACATTCTAGGCCATTCTCAAAGGATTACTTCCAGGATAACAATCTCTTCTCATTCTAATTTGCATTTTCATGACACACCAAGAGTGGGAGAGTATAAGGTTATCTAGTCTACTTACACTTTCATCATCATCCTCACTCCTCATGTGCTCGGCGATGAACCGCACACCATCCACCGCCTCCTCCATGTCAGGGTTGCATTTGACGGTCATCCGCTTCCTGAATTCTGTGTTTTCGGGCAGGTCGCTGATTTTCCACCCATATTTCTTGGCAGATTCTTCGTTGACGTAGAAGGAATCGGCATCACCTTTGCCCGCTTTGAGGTCAGGGTGGGAATTCTGCTGCTTCCTGCGGAATCTCTCCCTGACGTTGGTGTTGTCGGGCCTCTTCATGAACAACACAGCTGGGAGCTTGTCCAGGAACACTCTTTTTACCCACTCGGGCATCGTGTGTGTGCTGGGAGACCGGTGATGGATGTTCAGCACGCAGACACTGGTGACGATGGAAAACGTCACCAGAACCATGGTGAACATCAGGTACTTGCCAATGAGCGGAACGGCGAGCGATGTAGGTGGAACTATCTTAGAGATCAGGAGCAGGAACACAGTTAAAGCGAGCAGCACCGAAATGCAGAGCGTCATTTTCTCTCCACAGTCTGAGGGAAGGTAGAAGACCAATATCGCCAGAGATGTTATAAGAACGCAGGGGATTATTAAATTTATAGTATAAAACAAGGGCTTCCTCTTGATAATGAAGTCATATGTAATGTCTACATAAGTAGCATCTTCAGGGTCTTCGTTTTTCCTTCCTGGAAGGGAGACAATGTCCCACTCTCCGCTGGGAGTGAAGTCGTCTCGACTAGCAAAGTCGCTCATCAAGATCAGGTCTATTTCCGTGCGGTCGTACGTCCAGGAGCGGAACTTCATGGTGCAGTTTTGCTGGTCAAAAGGAAAGTTCTTCACCTCAATTTTGCACGCACTCTTGTAGATGGCAGGTGGCAGCCAAAAGACATCCCCACTGCTAGACACAACAGCATTGCAGTAGAAGGAAACTTCATACGTTCCATCAGCACTGTGCAAGAATACAAACAACAGAAAGATTAAAACAGCCACCAGTTCTGAACTTCACAAATGTCACTATTTAGTCATCTCTGCAATGTAACACAATAACTGCATTAAACCATATGTTTTTTTTTTTTTATTCTAAGACATCTTGAGTGGAAATACACAATAATATTAGATGAGATATAGAATTAGATGAGATACAGAAGTTGTGATAGTGAAGATGCCATCTGGACAAAATAATCCATAAACAGTGAAAGCTAAACATAAAAACAAAAGGAAATAGTAGATTTTATGTTGAACTGTAGTACAGACTCAATAATATGTCTTAATATCAGACAGCGGTCAGCAATTTTTTTGCAAGCTTCCCCCTTAAAAAGAAGGATTTGTTAAAGTGGGTCACAACCTGAAATCAACTGAATTTAGTAAGCTTGTTCTGACAGCTGTAATGTCTTAATGTTTTTAAACTACTCTTCTAATCTCTTGTTGTAGTACTCCTCAGACAGTGGGCAGTACATGGATGGCTTAGTTTTAATTTTCACAAAGTCACATCCAAAATAATTCAGTGTAGGGATTTTAAACAAAGAACAGCGACAAAGTGACAAATTCCAAGTTTGAGTCTACTAATTTAATTTACACTAATTTACTGACTAATTAAGACACTAATGTGTCTGAATCAACATAATTTTACCTTCAGTAAAGGAGCTATTGAAGTCTATAACTACTGTATTCTCTGAACAGAGGCACAGAAAACTATGCTTTTTAATTTCACATGTATGTATTTTGATGTCTTCTGTAACAAAGGGAATATATCTACTAGCTTAACAATCTTTACATTGAGAGTAAAGTACAGTGTGTTGATAGCATTTGGCTATCACAATCCTATTAGACAAAGAAAGCAAATGAGAATCCAGAATTATAAATGGCATTTGTTTTCTCTGCTCTTTGAATCCCAGAGTAAGGAACAGGACTAGTTATGACTTTTAAACATTGCTTTTGTTTTCAAGTATATGTAACATTTTTCATTCCCAAGTCAAGAACCTACTGTATCCATTCACACATTTTCTAATCACTTTATTCCTTTGCAGTAAATGCTGATTTACACAAATGTAATATTTTTAGTGAGTTTGTGGGGGGGGGGGGGGTGTTTTCCGATGAAACTACACACTAATGTGTCTAAATGTTTCTAAAGTGAAGTCTCCTATTGAATACTTCCATCCACCCCTTTCCTTACCCGTTCTTCCAGTTCAGGGTTGTAGAGGAGCCACAGCCTATCCCAGCAACCAATGGGCACAGGGCACGGTACGCCCTGGATGGAACGCCAGTCCATAGCAATGGCACACAATCACACACCAAGGCCAATTTTTACAGAAGCCAATAATACCAGTCTTTGGACTGCAGGAGGAAACTGGGGCACCTGGAGGAAACCCCTTTGAACCCTGGTAGAATGTACAAACTCCACACAGACAGCGTCTCAGGAATTGAACTCAGGGCCCCAGCACTCCAAGGCACCAAAGCTCACCACTGTGCCACCACGCCACCCTTCAAAATCAATTCTGTTTAGGAATCCAGGTGCAGAAGCATTGGTAATGACATAATCTCATAAGCAAAGGACCCTTAGGGACTGGCAGTTCTGACTGATACACATTTTCCACACAGTGGTTGTGTGGTTAATCCATGCTAATACACTCAGCCCTAATCCTGATTTGGGTAGAGTGAGACCATACAGTGTCTCTGCACTGCGTTTGCAATGCCTCAGTTTTGATTGCCATAGAAACAGAAAACAGAATTTAGTGAAGTGTGTTCCAGTTCATTTTAAATAACAAAGGGCTGAAAATAATCCAGAATCTGCTGTTTGTAAATCGTGTGACATATGCCGATTCTACCTTAATCAACAATCCTCATTTTGTTTTTGCGCCCATGGGGCTGAGGCTTCAGAGAGGTAATTATATAGAGACTAATTTACAGGAATCAAGGACGAGGCCAACTTCAGTCAACTGCTGTAGCAGCTGACCGGCAGAAAAGCCTGATCAGGACTGTATGACATCTATTGTTGATAAATACACTATAGTTTTGAAGACAAAATGTTACAAAATTTCAGCATTCGAAATCGTGGCCGAAGCTTCCGCTCCTAATCAACGACATTGATATGATAAAACAGTACGAGCAGACAATATTTAAACTGAACATCTCTTAAAATATAACTGTATGGTTTCTAAGTAACTTTAATCATATTGTACTTTTGTGGCAGTGGCACAACCACTGTATAAACAGCTAATATTAAGGTAAATATGATTTCAACATTGTTTTACTGTCAAAAATGTTTGTACTGAGGTGGGGGAGGAGTAAAATCACAGGTTAAATCTGATGCACCACATAATGTTATGTGGAGAATAATTAAATTGTAGTAAATATGGTACTGCAGCTATGATATACAAGAAATAATACTAAAAAAGAAAACTGAAGATAAAGAAATGATGTTGTAGGAAGTTCATTTACTGATCTTTCAACCTTTTCTTCTATTGAGGCAGAGGATTAATAGCAGCACGACATTTGAAAAGCTTAAAAACCTGAGTTTACACCAACACAAAAACCTAAGCACAGAGAAATGCAGCCTGGCTTAATGGATAAAACCTTTCTTCAAAAGGGTGACTGGATTTTCAGAGATCAAAATTGGGGCACAGACTTACATAATCTGTCATCCCACTCAGACAGTACCAAATCCATGATGGAATTATTCAAATATCTTTAAACCACAGAAGTTACATTTAAGTGAACGCCTGTACTAGATGCACTGCTCTGTCAGGAGAGTGAAAGCGATGAAAATGTCCTTTGTGTTTTGTGCTACCACAGCTACTGTTTGTAAATGTGGTGACCAAAGCAATCATATGCACCTCAGTTATAATTGTTACCCATGAAACATAAAAATACATTAAAAAAAAACATTACAAAAGTGAGCTGTATCTTGTTGTCAGGCCTACTGGGCTCCAAAAGCTTAAGAGAGGTGCGTGAATTCCTCATTAGTGTGTGAGTGATTAGTCATACAGTACATTTAATTATTCTTAACATTTTCAAAGAATTTGGTCAGGATACTGAGTCAAGCAATGGTGTAAAAAACAAACACCCTCCCAACCCCTTCTCCTAAAAATAGAAACCATCTAGGATTACACAACTGAAAGATCATGAACTGTGTTTAGCAGTCAAGATTTGTTTTACTTGTCAAATTAGCATGGTAATGTACTAATTTGCTATGGACTGTAGAATTAATGAGCTAGCAGATCACTGTGCAATTATGCAGTGTGGACTTACTTATTGTATAGAACAATGTCTGGTAGCCAGATGTGCTGGGATGGAATTCTGAGCTTCTTAATGCCTTCATACTCCTGGGGATCCCACTTCAAGCGATAGTCATTCCACTCCTGTGGCAGTAAAATTAAGCCATCAAACAAGGACTAATCTTTCACACAAAAACCACACCTACACACAAACACATAATATATCAGCACCGTGTAACTGCCTTAATGGATTGATTGTCAGTCTGCCTCGTGTGCTTTTTTAATAACTTTTGGTAACACACCACTCTCAAGGTCAAGCTTCTTAAGTAGGAAATAACTAATTACAATGGGTGCAGATGGCTAGATATTTGTACATTTCTCCTTTCTCAGTCTCCAGTTCAGCCTTTGCAGCGTTAGGGCACAGCCTCATCGATGTAGTGGTTTTCCGTTATTAGGAAACTGAAAATGCTGGGCCGCCATCCAATCTCTGTGAGAGCAGGAGGGGAACCTCAGCACCCCAGCTCCCCACACCTCTTAACATTAAATTTGAATTTCTGTTCATGGCGCTTTTGCCACACGGCTGTAGATCAAACTTCGTAGGGCAGCACCGTTCGACAAAGCGCATGGGATTATGCTTTGTGTGAAAATCGCTGAGGTTTTACTCTGGACCCTGCAGTGCAGCGAATTTAAAGTGGCTAAGCCACAGGAAATGCTCCTGGTAAAAGAAGATTTTAAGGATCACGCTTACTTGATGGAAAACAATTTCAAAATCAAATAGCTACAGTGTTATGTTAAGATACACAATCAGTACATTCCAGTACATCGTGTGAACTTGGTGACAGGTTGTTATTTGCCAGAGACTTAGGGAGTCTTCTCAAAGTATTCAAGTCTCTTTTTAATTTATGGTCTTGGCAAGGATAGGAGGAGTTCAGAGGACACCCTGTCCCCCGACATTAAGAGTGAGTTTGTAATACTGTACATTGTCTATATGTTGTATTTCTATATGGAATCTGTGGGTTAACTGTGTAATGCATAGAAAAAAATACAATAAATCAAACAAAATTACCATCAAATACACAAACTATTTTTAAAGGATGTTACAGGAAAGGACATAGGCAGAAATGACAGCTGCAATACATTAGTTTTTTAAATAAATCTTTTAAACTGAAAGGTCATGAACAGTAAAAAGAAATAAACATACAGTACACCCACCTGTGTGAGCCAAACATTTGTGGTCATTATCTGCTCCCTTTCATTCTGTCAAAGAGAGTAAGAGTACAGTAAGAACTTACAGACTGCATGAGTACAAGCTGAATACCTCTCTGTCCTGGACACCACTAAACACCTGTCATTTCTCATTCACCTCTTGTCAGCAACTTTCCAACACTGCTAAAGGCACGTCATCATCACCAAACAGCTGCCTTACTACACCTGACTATACACCAATACTGGAACACCAGGTAGCACCTGTTGCTAAAATTTCAAACTAACTACATGCATCTGTGCGACATTACTGGGCATCGCTCCAAAATGCCTCTTTCTTCTGTTTCTTTGCCAAACCTCATTCCGAACGACGAGGTGTTGTCTGTTGAGCTGTTCGACCAAACAAAAAGTGAATCCTTACAGCGACGTGCCTGCAAAAACACAGTACCTTGCCAAAATATTCCCCCCTTTCCAAAGATGTCCCATGTAGTTGGTAAAGACTTACCCAAAACGACTCACAGTTGTAATTGTTGCCAGAGGTGCTTCCTATACTGAATTCTTATACAATCGACATATTTTATTTTTTAATTCTTATTTACGTTTTGATTAAAAACACACAGTTTTAAAAAGCGTGTCCATCTTAGTTATTCAACAAAATAGGACGTCACTGGACAGGGGCTAACACTTTCCTAAGGCACTGCACGTGAAGCATCATTACGGTACTTTCTTTATCACACCTCTGTAATTCACAGAATCGCATTGCCTCATTTGACTTACCACACTTATGAGCTGTGAAAGGGACACTTGAGTGGCAATGGTAACAAGCTGGCTCCTGTTCACAGCTGGTCTAATTAACTTGTTGTAGCGCTCTGGGCCCAGCAGGTAGCTCACTAGCCTTTCTTCTGCATCAGCTGCGTAGGCGGCTGCAATAGAAGAGAAATAATGCAGCCGATTAGGCTCCTACTTATTAGGGAAAGAAACGCTTTCAGCTCTGTGTACAAATTATACATCCCTCGGGATCGACAGCTCTCAAACCTAAACATCACAAGTCAAAATGTAAAAAGCCTACGCCTTGTGCTTTAACTTACAACATGTAAAGGGGCAGTGCGGTGGCTCTGTGGCTAAGGATCTGGGCCTGTGGCTGGAAGGTTGCCAGTTTGTATCCCACAGCCGGCAGAGGAATCCTACTCCGTTGGGCCCCTGATCAAGGCCATTGACCCCAACTGCTCCAGCTGCGCCGTACAAATGGTTGACCCCAAGCGTCTCTCCCTGTCTGTGTATCTCATGGAGAGCAAGTTGGGGTATGCGAAAAAGACAAATTCCTAATGCAAGAAATTGTATATGGCCAATAAAGTGATCTTATAAAGTATGTAGCTCGTACACTCATATCCCGGTATCCAAACCTAATTAATTCCTGAAAATCTGTTCAGAAGGCGAGAGATCGTAAATTGAAAACAAAAAGTCCATTATTTGTTATGGGGAAAATTCCACTCCGTTCTGAACCGAAGACAAGTTCACTCAAAAACCACCCTAAACATATAATACTATACAGATCATTATAGCAAGCTTAGTGAACAACGCAGTTCTACTCAAATAAGCCAACTATATTTGTAAAATAATTAATGATATCATTTAAATTTTTCATTCTTTCGTAATAGATCGGTGTGCATACTGTTGTTGACTATTATGCTTAAGAGTCATTTTCTCTTCCTTAAGACCCCATAATGAAAAGCAACTACAAAACAAACACAAAAAGCCACTTTGAAAATTTTGCTGTGATCACAAAAAAAGCACTGCTGTCTCACGGCATCGTTGACCACAATACCCGTCTACTGTCAAGAACAAACAGCTGTTCATTGGTGCTGAATTCAAATGTTCGCACAAGGTTCTCGGCCAAAATCCGTCACTTTCCAACTTCAAAGTTCGAATTAGTGAAAATTCGTTTTTATAACAAATAACAAGGTACAAATTCTTCATGTTCGGATTAGCGAAAATTCGTATACCAAACGTTCTTATATCGGGGTATAAATGTATTCTTATTTTTGTAATAAGTGACCATTGTCAAAGATACCAAAAGCAGGCGATTCACTAATGCCGCTAACTTGGAGTACAATTAGTATCCGGCAGCACAGATATCCACAATTTAAGCCTGGGATGTCATTCGCCAACTGTGACTAGGATTCCCCAGGCAGCAGCACAAAATAAACACAAACAGGGTCACATGGACCTTGAATCAGCCAAATTATTCTCAGGGGGCCCTACACCAGGAGCTTTGGACTTGTCAGGTGCCTGTGAGCTGGTTGTGATGTCAGTGAGAGACATGCCACTTCTCCAATCAGCGCCAACTCTATAAGGCAATATGGAGCATAAATTGTGATCAATGCGATCAAATAAGAAATGGTTTCAATAGGTACATTTTGTCAGTGAAATACAAGCACAGGTCTTAATTTTCCCTGTGAAACTGAAGTATGTCAAGCCGATTAATAACTGTCAATTCCAAAGGAAGTACAGCGATTATTCAAAAAATATTTTGCGATTCAAACTTGTTTTAAAAAAAATTGCACTGACAGACCACATTTTCACAATTGAGAGTTACTGGGTGATTTATTTATTCCTACAATAGACAGAAAGAAAAATCTTTCTTTATGGATTGTTATGACCTATAGTAACTTTCCCATGAAAATACTCATTACACATTTTACTATGTGTAACCTAGTACCTTTCCTGGAACTGTCATTAAATGACAGCTACTGACACTTTTGATCAAATAAATAATAAGCAGTACAATATGAAGAACAACAAAATAAGGCACCTTCTTACCTAATAATAAGACACACACAAATGAACTCTGTTCTCACTACAGATAATCTTTTTTAAACAGGGTAACTTTTATATTTTCACAGTTCATTTAATCTTTCCTTGGCTTGGTTTCCAAAAGAAGGAGGCTTACAGTACATCAGACCCTTAAGCTATAAATATAGTGCCCAAGAGACTGAGGCCAAGAGCCTTTGCTTACTTAGAAAAACTGTAAACTGCCACTGTCTGCAGCTGTTCTGTTCGCATTAGTTCCACAGGGATTCTGGGGCTCTTTAAAGCAGCCCAGGGAACTTTTTTAAAACAGTGAGAGATCAGATCACTCTGATGAACAAAGAGACAACAAAGCAATAAAAAAGTAGAGTTTGCAGGCAGGCCTATATGTGGATGGGAGTGTGCACACACTCATTGGTTGGCTGTAATCTCTCATCTGTCACTTTGTTCAAAGAGGCAAGAGTGTGCTGTTCTCATTGTCTTGGTCTCCATCCCTAATGTTAGTTTTAATTAGTCAGCTGATGAAATTATATACAGTATATGAGATATTACGTAGCTATTATTTACATCAAATATATTTATATACTGTACATATTTATAGTTATACTAGTGTAAATTCTCTCTGGAGAACAAGTCAGAGACTTCTGTAATAAAAGGCAAATCTAAATCAAATCTTCCCCCAAGGGAAACACATAAGCTGCTACACCTGATCTTTGGGACGCTCTGGGACCAAAACAACAGGTCTGTCTGGCAAAGCTGGCGATATAGGCTTTAGGTAGAAGAGTAATCACCAGCTGTAAGACTTCACTCTCGATCAATGCTTTTATAACTTTTGTTCCTATTTATATCATCTATCCCTTCATTTTCTGTTGTAGGGTTGTGGGGGAGCCAGAGCCTATCTCAGCAACCTGCAGACACATGGCTAGATACCACTGTACCTGGATGGGATGCCAGTCCATCACAGGGCACACACAGACACAAACACGGACATACTCACACTCGTACTTCCCAGAAGCCAAATAACCTACCAGTATGGCTTGGAATGTGGGAAAAACCCAGAGCACCCGGGAGAAACCCAAGAAAACACAGGGAGAACATACACACTCCACACAGACAACACCCCAGGTCCAGAATTGAACCCAAAGCCCCAGCGCCACTGTGCCACCCTACTCGTACCATATAAAACACAACATGCATCCTGGTGTCCTATAGGTGCACACTATGGCACCACAGAACATTTTTAATCACATTTCCCCTGACTCCTGTGTGATAGTGTAAACAAGTCTTCCTGTCAATCCCCTACACCTAGTTATGATTCAAATTTTGTGGAAGTCATAAAAGGTCCAAGGTTTAAGTGATTTTAAATTCAGCCCACTCTGATATGGACCTGTAAGGCACATGAGTGATGTACTTATGATGTTATTTATCATATACAGCACGTAATACAGGAATAATCTTAGTAATCTAACAGTAGAAGGCAGGAAGAGTCCAATAAAATACTAACTATAACATAATCAATAAAGTTTAAAGAAAAAAACCTTGATGGCAGAGCACATACTGTATTAAGTCACAACTTCAAACCTACCTATCAACTACACAACTACACATTACAGACTCCATTACATACTCAGCACGTAATGGCAGGTTTCTGCTATTTACAAGTCAACTTCTGGCAAACATGAAGTCATGGCTTAGCAGAATTTATTTCACAAACTGTGCATATGGACTAAGAACTGACTCATTTAACTTCTTTCCATTAGGTTCTTTTCATGATACAAATATATAACCACACATAAATTGTGTACAGTATAACCTCTCACTGCCCTCTGTTTCCTGACGCTGGCTCTTCAAATGAAATAGTAATGTATTGTTACAGACTGTGAGGTGACTATGGAAGTGTATCAAAGAATCTAGGTAACCCCTAGCTTGTGTTAACATTTGCACTTCCTGCAGCTTCTAAACGAGGGATGTTTGCTTAGTTGTGCTGGGTTTGAGAAACGCCGATCAAATGATTCTTCTGGTTTACCTTAGTTAATTAGGGTGATGAATGTGAAGGATTAAAGATGGAGAGACACAGGGGAATGAATCAGAACAAAGGGGAGACTGGGACAAAAAAATGTGTGCCAGAGGTCTTCACAAGTGGTCTTTCACAAAGATCAGGTTTGAACTAAGTATTTGAACTTTGCTAGGAGAGCTTGCGATTTTTATAGAGCATTTTAGGGTGTTTGTTAGGGAACTCGGATCTCCTGAGTAAAGAATCCCTCTGTTAAAAATGCCCTCTCCTAGTTTGTGGGTGCATTTTAGAATAGGGAGATTAATTCCAATTTATTTTCTGGCATGTGGGTTTGCAGAGAGAGAGAGAGATTTTCATTGCAGAAAGGTTGCATTCGATTTGGTTTAGGAGGCAGCTTATCTCTTCTTTCGGCCTTTGTAGGCAATAAGTGTTGAATACTTTGTAAGAGTCTGCTATTTTTCTGGACGGTTAGACTCTGGAATGCTTTGTCTCTAAACCTGTACTGTACACAGGGGAAGTTGTGTGTTGTATTCTTATGATGCATGTAGTATATTGTTTGTATTGTCACTGTTAATATATTTGTTTAACCAAGTGTGCCAGAATTATTACTTGTTTCACCAAACTGTGTCAGAGATCAAAGAATTCAGGTGCCTCTAACTATACCAACCACCTTGGTACATTCTTGGCAGAAATCTTTAAAAGTTCGGGGTTATGATAATTCATTTTAATTATTGATTTATCCTCTTGGTAATTTCCTGCCTTTTCACCATAATTGTTTACCCTAATTTGTAATAGTATGATAAAAAAAAAAAAAAAAAAAAAAACCTCCAAACAAAACAAAAATGGGGAAAATTTGAATGCCGCAACCAATTATGTACAAACTGCATTTTGTGGTTGTGTTAATAAATTCTCTAGGTAGTTATTGTCATTTCTCTGGACACCTTTGCAGAAGAGAGTTCTCTACTCATTCATGAATTTTTCATGAAGCTTTCATGAATCTCGGAAAACCTTTCTTATACATTTTTTAAGTGTGGTAATTCATTTTCCTTGTGCTGTAAATTTTAACCTAGATTTTCCTCTGATAGTTCCAAAGTTCAGTTC